GCAGTTTTTTGTTTTTTAATTTTTTTTTTTTAATGCATGCATGGCTTTCGGGAAAAAGAAGGCAATGAGTCTTCCCTGGCACTCCTTGCTGAGTCAACAACAGGCATGGACAGGCTTGGATTGCCCTAGAGGAAGATTCCTGTGCTTTTCTGCCAGCTTCTTCCACCAAGAGCTCCATGATGAAATCATGACAAGAAACTTTAAAGGGAACTTTTATGGGACAGCACCAATAGATTATTTATGCATAGCAACAGGAAGTTTTCCTTAAAAGGACACAACATGAACTGATTTGCATATTTTTTTTCCCTGGATTGTCTGCTAGCATATACATTGCTGTAAGGATAGCCACATACTCCACAATGTAAATTAATATTTTATCTTGATGGTAATCGTAATTCTGAAGAATCAATGTGTGAACCTTGCAAGGTTCATGGAGCTTTAGCCCTTATTGGGCCTGAAACAGTCATATAACCAAAACAATGAATTGAAGCTAGTGAAATTTCACTTTCTGAAAAAGGCCAGCATATAGGAATGCTTACTTGTGTAGTAAAAACAGAACTCCATCTCAGAGAATGAGCATGCAGAATAGTGGTTTCCTGACAGACAAGGAAAGAGGACAATGTGACAGGCAGGTGTGGTTGCAATTCTAATTGCAAGTTATTTAGGAGAAACACATAGGCCAGTGTAAACCAGGTAAAAATACTAGTATCTATGAAATCTACATGATGGACCATGCTGTTATATCACTGAAATTTTTTATGTAATTAAGAAACAGAAAAGACATCAGCTGAATGTGATTCTTCTCAGATAATGAAAGAAACATGCAGAGCCCATGTTCTAGAATTAATCTCTAAGGATGACAGGGTGTGTAAGCCTAGTCTTTACCTGCTTATCTGAAACAGAGTTTAACACATGGGACACAATTCTAGGAGAAATTGTAGGATTTGTGTAGGTTCCTAGACTTGGTTTTCAAAATGAATTTAACTTGGGATGTCAAATGTGGACAATGATCTAAGGAATCAGGAAGATGATCCAAGGAATTTGGAAGTGTGCGTGGTGTGTATAGTGCAGTTTTGTGTTCAGAGTCCCAACACATGGTCAGCTCCCCTAACATGTGGGTTGGCCCAAGACATTGCTGCTCTTTGTATATGGGTAAGTGCACAAAGACCCTACCATCTTTTAGGGTGCCTGACAAGAAGACAGGGAGCGAAGATGGTAGACAGGCTGCAGAAGAGATAGAGGCAACTGCCTTACTTGGAATGTGGCACTTAGAAAGCTGCATTTCTTTGTGGCCTGTAGTAACACCCTCCCTGTGATGTTACTGTGGGAATGGATTCTGGGTGTCAGTGTGGGTGCTTTCCCTGATTCCTCACTATATTTACAATGGTCAACAGAACACCTCCATAGTCTGTAAGTATGAAGTTAGCATAGACTCTGGAATGGTTAAGATTGTTTTTTCTTTATCTTGAACAGGCAGGTATACTAACTCAGAGATTCTAGAAAAAAATTATACAGTGAGCATCTTTGAAAACGAGAAATACCTACTTGCAAAAGTACTTACTGTTAGTAAAATATGTCTGCATAATTGTGTTAAAAAATGTATGACCAATTCCATGTTATCTATGAGTCCTTGATACAGTTTTACAGAGAAAAGTAAACAAAGGAGTAAAGCTAGTTAGATTTCACATTGAACACTAGATCTGCAGTTCTCAAACAGGAATGGCTTTTGTCTCCCAGAGGATACTGGTTATTCTTAGAGCCATTTTTGGTTGTCTCCCATTCTTGTGATGCTGGTGACCAGAGGCCAAGGATGCTGCCAGTAATGCAATGACACACTGGACAGTCACCCACAATAAAGAACTTTGCTAACTCCAAATGTCCCATCTGATCCAAGTATACCTTCTGTGGTGCTTCCCCGCAGCACCCATCATGCAGGTGCTAAATACAACTGTTTTAGGGCAGATACACGACTGAAAAGTTCCTGCTCAGAAGTGACACCTGCTGACAGCAACTTTCCCCCACTTATATTAGAGGGAAAGAGGACTTAAAATCATATAACTGGAAGGCCACCCTTAATAATTCTTCATGAAAAATATCAATGGAAGGGATGGGATTAAAAGTTCTGCAAACAAATGCCTCATGCTTGTCTCTTTCCCTCATCTTCATCCTTCTGGTCAAGACTCTATGAGTAGCCAGGGTCATGGTGCACAGAGTTAAGCTACTGCTTTCAATGCTGTGCTGCTTCTGATCAGCTCCTTGCCAATGCACTTGGAAGGCAATGGAGCGCGATTATAGTGCTTGAATTCCTGTCCCCAACATGGGAGACCTGGATGGAGTTCTGACTGACAGGTTCAGTCTGGTCCTACCCTAGCTGTTGCAGTCATTTTGGGAGTAAACCAGCTGATGCAAAGTCTACCTTTATGTCACTTCTCTTTCACTCTCTCTGTCACTCTGCTTCTCAAATAAACAAATCAATATTTTTTTGGAAAATGTTTCTAAAATAAAACTACCTCCTTTAACTTAGGGACAGCAGAGCCATTTAAACTCACAGTTAATGTCAGGCTAAAGGTATGAGAACAGCTTGTTAACATTATTTAAGCTCCTTTTCCTATACCTTGAATATATGCTTAATGAATATAACCTGGAATTAGTGAATAAAACATAAATGCTTTAGCCGTAGCTGACATTTAATAATGATTAATCTTCCACATTTATACTTAGACTGAATTTGTTATTATTTATGTATCTGTATTTCCTGCTGAATATTAAATTCTTGATTCGACAAGAGCATATAGCACCTAGTATGCCGTTTCATTTCTGACATACTCTGTTAGGTACACTACAAGCAATCACCACATGCAAAGGGTGTATGAAGACAAAGCATAACTGTATATACGATGTTTTTTATGAGTCAATACATTTTTAAAAAGTTAATTCTGTGATTTTTTAGTATCAAGAATTGCTCCCTACCCACAAAACACGAGAATAGTAGCAATAAATAGTTCGTGAACAATCTGTACTATTTATAATTTATATGCTTCTCATAAATAAATACAACACTTACAAGCATGACACACAGGCTCGTGTACTGAGAAGGCAGGTGCTGTGTCTGACTCCAGACACCCAGGCACTTGTGCCCCTGGGTCTCTTACCCTTTTCGTGCTCAGTTCGAGTTCTCAGTGCTTTAACTTACCACCGCCTGCCCAGGCCCTGCCCTCCGCACCTCCAATCTGCAGCAAGTGTGCTGCTGACTGAGCCCCTAGTCCCATAGGAAAGCCAAGTGAACTCCTTCCCGCACTTCTTACTTAATGAAGTTGTTATGAAGATTAAAAGACTATATGTCCAGTACTTAGTCAATACTCAGTACTTCTTTATCGCTCATCCTTCCTCATTCATGTTCTGAAGGACGTGAGGTCCTATGCTGTGTTCTGCTGTGGACTAGAGACAGTTCATCCACCTGCCTAATTATCTTTAATGGGAGAAAAACCTCTTACTACATAACTATAGCTTAAAAAAATAGCCAACTTAAAAAAAAGGCAAATGTGATTAGTACGTTCCATACTGTATAATATGAATGAATTTCACTTCGAGGGTAATGAATGGCATCAAATCAGTATTTGGTCTTCCACTCTAGAACAAAGATAGAAATCTTGATAGCCCTAGGCCAAGAAGCATGACATGATAAAACAAGAGAAACCAAATGCAAGGCTGGAAAACCAAAGAACAACTTCCTTACTTGACAGTTTTCTAAAGGGCCTGCTAATGAGTTTTATTTCTTTACAAGAACAAAATAACAAAAATATTGTGGCCAAAATATTTTACATTCTGAGAGGCATGGACACCTTATAAGAACCATAAGACAACCTTTTGCCCAAGCCTTGGAACTGAACAAATAAAACTTTCTGAAATGTGCAAGTTGCAATTGTCAACTGGTTCATCTGCAAAGCTACTATGAATCAGTGTATGAAACATGGCATTAGGTTATGAAAACATAAAACTCAAAGTAACCCGGAGGAAGACATTTTATCTAAAAACCAAAAATAAAATTGAAGGTGGCAAAAGTACACCCAAGCAAACACAAGGCACATCATGAAGCAGTTTATTACAAGTGGTTACCAGGCCGTTCAGGTGCAGGACTTCCAAGCTGTCTGCTGAACAGTTTCTCATTGAATTTCCAAAAGATCTTACCAACTATGTACTATTAATAATTTTGCCTTTTGTGCATAAGTCTTAGATAAACCTACTAAATGCAAACACACACAGATTCTAAACTCGATTGGTGATTTCAGAAAATGTATCATACTTAGTTGTCCCTCAATGTGTATGTGAATTGGTTTCAACAAAATCTGTGGACAGCAAAATCCATGAATTTTCAAGTGTCTTGTATACAAAGGGGCAGTATTTGCTTATAACAGAAGCATACCATCCCATACACTTGAAATTATCACTAGACTACTTATAATACCCAACAAGATGAGAATGTTTGTACATACTTGCCATACTATATTGCTTAGGGAACAATGGCAAGAAAAACAAGTCTGCATGTTCAGCCCAGACCATTTTCCTGCAAGTATTTCCAATCCACATTTAGTCAAAACTTCGATGTGGAATCTGCAAATCTGAAGGATGGCTGTAATTCATACACTCAGTCATCTGTTTTGTCTTTTCCCCCTACAAAGTCTAAAAATTTGTTAACAGAAATTTCTTTCAAAGACAATACTTTCAGAGAGTATACATATTTTTTAAATCTCTAAAATGATTAAGAAAAAGTTCAGTTGCTAATGTTGAGAATATTTTACTAACAGAAATGTTAATAGGGTTTTAAAATCTATCGGTCCTATTGAAAGGTAACAGAATTCCTATTAAAATATTAATACTCCCATGAATGCTTCACAGTTCAGGGGAAAAAAACAAATGATAGTCACCTAAAGCATTCTTTGCTTTTGCTCCTAGGAATGCCAGTCTTCCAGAATTCACACGAAAGGGCATCACAAACTTACTTTGACCTGGGGGTAGGACTTCTTGTTCTTTTCACTAGATGCACCAGGAAGTCCACCGTGGGATGGGCCTTCACACACATAACGGAAACGGAATCCTCTCTGCAAAGGCAAACAAGGACCCAGTAAGTTTGAGAAATGTTCGTTAAATTGTTAAGTGACAGTTACAAGCACACTTTTAGGACTTGCATACACTGCAAGTGAAAAGAAAAATTCATGAAACTATGAAACAGTGAGTCTCTGTAAAAGAGAGTCACTCTCCTGTCCTCTCATTATGAAGAGGACATTGTGTGATTTGTGTACTGAAACATGGCGGAAAGGCCAGGGGCCCCATCCTGTGGAACCTCTTGTGACATGCATAGGTGGACAGCAAACTGCCAAAGAGGTGAAGCTGCTGGACTTGATGTGCTGCGCTTGTTTGAATCACAGCTTCCTCATCTCAAATTGCAGCTGAAAAACTCTGAACTTTGCCATATTACTAAAAGTTATGCTTCTTTGTCTCTTATTTAAAGGAATCCTTTCATCTACTGTTTACAGCCACTGTAGAGAACACAGAAATATCTGCACCAGCGTTACAGACCAAATCCTAGACTAGGCTACCCATCTGGTAGGTTTCTCAACAGTTCAGAGGGAAAGATTTGTTTTTTATGATAATTGACTTGTTCCAGTCCAAACTTGAATGCTAACTGACCTAAATGAATACAAAACTAGATAGTTCCCTTAAATATGATCTAGCCCTGGAATTTTAATATTAATTCATTGATGAAGAGTTGGATAGAAACCTCTGCTTTGTGGATTACAAGCTGATTAACATGCTAAATGCCATGTATTTTCATCTGTACAAGTAAGATTATATTAGGCTATCTTTTGAGGTGTATTCCAGTTCTAACATTTTATGATTCATAAGGTGAAATTATAATTAAATCTATTTGAATATAAAGAATAAAACCAGGACAGATATGAGAAATGGACTTCACCATTTTATTAAAAGAGCTTTCATTCTATTTCCAAAAAGATGCAATTTCACAACAGTGTCTATTTGTGGTAGTACTTGATAGTTTATAACATACAGTCATCTGACTGGATGGTTTTCCCTGTCATTAAAATCACTTGAGTGAAAAGAACATTAAGTCAAACTACATTAAAACATATCCACACTGGTCATTTTCTTTTACTGTTGGGACTGACTTCAATAAACAGTATAAGACCATTAGGCCACTGGGAGTGCCCTATAACACACACTGCTTGCCAATTGGGGGGGGTTTCTATTCCACACTCAAACACAAAGCTTTGAACAGCTCTGAATTTTTGCCCAATTTAAATGGTGGATATTTCTTTTTAAAATTTTTAAAAATGTATTTGAAAGGCAAAGTAGGGAGGGAGAGAGGAAGAGACAGAAAGGTCTTCCATCTACTGGTTCACTAAATGACCAATAGCTGGGTTAGGGTCAGGCCGAAGCCAGTAGCCAGGAGCTTCTTCTAGTTCTCCCATGTGGACGCTGTGGCTCAAGCACTTGGGCTTTCTCTGCTGCTTTTTCAGATGCATTAGGAGGCTGGATCAGAAGTGGAGCAGCCCTACTGAGACTGGCACCGATATGGGATGCCAGTAATGTGGTTGGGAGCTTGACCCACTATGCAAAGCACTGGCCTTGGTGGTACCACATTTCTTCATACTTCATAGGGTCTTGTGATTTCTAATTTGAACTCTCTGAAAAACATCTGGAACTGTTCCTATAATCTCCAAGGATTCTTCTTTCTTTTTTTTTTTCTCAGATATACAGAGGAGGAGAGACAGAAGATCTTCCGTCCAATATTTCACTCCCCTTTGAGTGCAATGGCCGGTGCTGTGCTGATCTGAACCCAGGAGCCAGGAATTTCCTCCAGGTCTCCCACGCTGGTGCATGGTCCCAAGGCTTTGGGCTGTCCTTGACTGTTTTCCCAGGCCACAAGCAGGGAGCTGGATGGGAAGTGATGCTGCTGGGATTAGAACCTGCGACCATATGGGATCCTAGTGCTTTCAAGGTGAGGACTTTAGCTTGGCCCAAGGACTCTAATTTCTAAAGATTGGCTGGAAAAGTAGACTTCATGGAACGCGTAAGGACTGAAGCAATTTCCAGGTATGGGAAAGTTTCTCAAGGCACACAGGGGCCTCTGAACCTGTCTGATCAACTCATCAAAGTGGGACTTAAGACAGCTTACACACAGTGCCTCAGGAGACTCGGGACAACTTTCTGAGGTGAAGTTTCAGGGCAATTCCTGTTTAACTTCTTATAAAACTCAAATTACAAAATAAGCTACAGGGGCAGGTGTTAAACTACCTCCTTACATGCCAGCTTCTGCTATTCAATTACCTGGGATAGAGTCCTATATCCACTTCGAAGGCAGCTTCCTGATATTTTTATACCTCATGAGGAAGATCTAATGGCTTAAGAACCCAGGTCCCTGGAATCTAGAAGAAGATCCAGCTGGAGATTCAGGCTCCTGGCTTTGGGCTGGCTCAACCATGGCTGCTGCAGGTATTGGGGAGCAAAGCATCAAGTGGAAATCTATCAGTCTCTTTCTTTCAAATAAATACGATAAATAAATTTTAAAAGAAACAGGCTACATGCTCACTCTTACAGTTTTTGTGAACAAGTTTTATTGGCTTAATTTTGGTAACTGAATGAAATTTCTGAACACATGAAAAACCAACAGGAGGTGCAATAGTTAACCTCCAAAATTGACTAATCATAAAATATTTATACATATCTGATAATCAGTTTAAACATAATTTTAGTCTTCAAGCAGTAATAGATAACTGATCCCGGATTACACTCAAGAAAGCTGTATATGCTAATAATAGTAGTCTATGCTAAGATTCATCTCCACAAAAGAAAATCTGAAAATCCTGAAAACCATAATGTTGTAAAAACTTATTTAAATTCTTGACTTTCATTCAGTGTTATACAACGCAGACATGTCGTTTATCTGAGTAGGAAAAGAACACTTCAGAAAGCAACTGCAACTTCAAGAAGCAGGTGTGTGTTTCCTTAATCTCACACAAATTTGATCAGCACATCCACTCAGAGGTGTAGTGGCTCTACTGCAGCTCTGTGCAGGACTATATTGCTACTTCCATCCCCTAATGATGAACACTTCTTATAGGTAGGTATTAAAGATTCTTTTTCTTTTTCACAATATTGATAGCATCAATTTCTACAGAGTTGAACATGGTAATGTAACCTTATACATTCTGAGCTATCTCTAAAAAACCTAATGGTAAGAGTTAACAACTTGATAAGACCAAATATTCTGATTCAAAGAAACTGGGTGTGAAGCTAATATCAGAGAGAAGAGAACTCAGCAGTGCATCCTAAAATTCCATCTCCCATTAGTATTTCTGTGCCTTGAGTTGCATAATGCAAAGACAGACTAGTGCTCCTGAAGAAAGGAGGCGGGCTACGAAGTACTAGGGACTTGACTAATGGATCTAACAGTGTATGTATGTGAATTGCAATGTTCTTCCTTATAAATGAAAATAAATAGAACTTTCTATGCCTTTCCTGGGAGGAGCTGATAGATTAAGATGGTAGAGATAGTAGGATATCAAGGATGTATGCTTAAAGTTTTATCAGAGTAATTGTTGGGGCTCAAGACAGAAAGAAGGATGATGAAGAAAGAGATAAAGTGGACTATTAATGTTGTTCCACAACTTGGAAGGTAGATGATTTTCCAGGTAATCTACTTCCAATATAAAATTCATTTACTATAATTCAAGGCTTGAGATCTTAATATCAGACACAGGGATTTAACATGTAAGGTAAAATCCACCCCTTTAATCTTCTTACCTGTTTAGGTTGCTCTAATATTTGAAGGAATGGGCCATCTGCTAAAAACAAAAACAAACAGAAACCAAAAGAACTGTGAGGCTTCTCAAATTTGAGAAAATGTAAAGCAAATTAAAAATTCAAACTGTTTTAGTAGAGATTTCAAGTCAACTCTTAAAGCTCATTTCACAAGGCTACAATTTCTCAGGCTCATTTGAAACACTGAATGTATCCTTTTCTTAAAACTACAGTCTCACTGTTTTTACAGAAGCAAACATTTGCCAACTAGTGATGGCACACAGCCCAACCCAAGAAAGACATGACGGCTGGCAAAGATGCCCATAATCTTCACAACCTCATCCTTAAGAATGACACGAACACCAATTCAAAGAGGCAACTACTTCCTACAACAAGGAAGTTTTCTTCTGCCTTCACATCATTAGACACTGAATTTCACTCCTCAAATATTTTAATCTGGAATAAAAGCGATTGAGCCAGCAACGTGCATGTGCAAAATACACAGACCATGACCTTGGGCTCTCTGCTCTCTTCCTTGTTTCTGTTCTTTTGTCTTACTAAATCCCTCAACACTTCTTCTCCTTCACTCGTTCATTAGTTTCCTCTGCCTCTCCAATTTAGTGTATCAGAAATGGTGATTTTCTTCTCATTTATTCACAATTTTGAATGTTTACAGAAAAATAGTCGAATATCATTCTCTCAACAGCACAATATATAAAGTAATTTAATGGGCTAGATGCATACCAAATAATTATAAGAAAAACCTACGCTTCATCCATTACTCAAATGTACCTAGCTTAAAAATTCAAAGGAAAATCAGAATATCTGGCAGAAAATGTACAAATTAGCTTCATATTAGAACGTGTCTACTTTCTTTCTGTATTTATGCCAACGGAACAATAACCTATAACTCTACAGTTAACACAGGCATGTGGTCAATGTTTAATAATAAAAAAACCTTCTACGATGATGTAGCTGTGTCCATTCTAATCATCATTATCTTTAGCCTAGAAGCTCAAGATCTATTATTTTGGATAAATAAATCTGTGTGAAGAGATAAATCTTGAAGTTGACACTAAAAATTAACTTGGAATCTGTTTTTATCTTAGGTTAACGCTAGAGAACTGAAGGAAATTGTGGCATAATTGTTTCCTGTTTTTATTTAAGAAAATATACAAGGAAGGCAGTTGGAAATGACTGATCATATCTGAAGACAGACATACAAGAAAGGAAAAAAACGAAGAAGCACTGACCAATGTCTGAAACAGTGAATTATCTTCTTTTATCTACATAAAATTCAAGCATAGACACTGTAAACAACATTGTCAATTGCTTCTATAAAAAGTAACTAAAATCATAAAATTATAAAACATGGCAAGGATTTAATTAGGGTTGAAGAAGTCAAACTAAGTAGAAAGACAAATATCTTCATACCACCTACGTATAGTCTATACGACAATGTCCTCTAGAATGCTCCAGAATTTTACTAAGAAGACAGGCCCCTTCACAGAGAAAATATTCAAGAGTTAAATCCACTGGAAAATTAGATTTGATATGCATATATTTGTTTTAAGGCCAACTTTCTTCTGGTCACATCTCTATCTCATGACATTCTATTATGCAAAGAAATTTGAATTGCAGAAGAAAGTTATAATCCTAACAGCTGTTTCAACAACTTGCAGATGTATTAACAGTTTTAGATTTCAAAAAAATCTACAAGGAGTGAACATCTGACACAGTTAGGTTTAAACTCTTGTCAGGATTCTAGCGGCTCACATCATTGTGCCTGGGTTGGATATCTTCCTGCAACTCCTGACTCCAACTGACTGCTAACATAGATTGTGAGAGGCAGGTGGTGATGACTCAAGTCAAATAGTCTTGTCACTCACACAGGAGACCTGGATTAGGTTCCCACCTTCTGGCTTCAGCCTTGGCCTACTCCAGGCCACCACTGGCATCTCGGGAGTGAATCAGTGGGATGGAAGCTCTCTGTTTCTCTGGTACTCAAATTAATAATAATACAACAGCAAAATAAAGCTCCTGATTTTTAATAAATCCACAAGATTAAACTATCCATATGAAAATTACAAGTTGGCACTGGGCTAGATAACCTCTCTATCCATTTAAAATTTGAATAAACCTTCCGTAAGGGCCCAGCCTAGTGGTGTGGCAGGCTAACTCTCCAGCCTGTGGTGACAGCATCCCATATGGTTGTGGTTTGCAGCAGCTCCACTTCTTATCCAGCTCCGTGCTTATGGCCTAGGAAGGTGGGGGGGATGCCCCAAGTCCTTGGAAAATTGCATCCATGTGGGAAACCTAGAGGAGGTTCCTGGATCCCAGCTTTGGACTGACTCAGCTATGGCTGTTGTGGCCATTTAGAGAGTAAACCAACATACAGAAGACTAGGTCTCTCCTTTTCTTATGTAAAAGTCTGCCTTTCAAATAAAAATAAATAAATCTTTTTTTTTTTTTTTTTAAAAAGACAACTTTAAAAACAAACCAAAAAAACCAAAGCTTACTTGGAGGAAGAAATGTATGGATAAAAACGACAGGGCAGTAACTGGAAAACACGACTACAGGATTAATTTTAAAATGTTTTTCTACTGCTATAGCACAATCGTTTCTAAAAAATGAAATTCTGACCACAAAATATTTACTAGATAGTTCTTTGGGTCATCATATTTCTATAAAATATAAACCTAAGGAAAAAATAACACTCAAAAAAAGTTTTTTAGGATTGTTTGGTATTCACAATACATTAAATGAAAATGTATATGTATCCTGTGGCCAAGAAGGAAGTTACTAGATTTTCAACAAAATATTAATATAATCAAAAATACTTTGAACCTCAGAATAAAAAAAAACGAATTTGCAGGAAACAGACACTACCAAGAAATTGATCTAGAGTTCAAACTAAATATGACTTCACAAGATCATAGACACACAGGCCTTTAAAATACGCTTTGTCAGGTAAAAAGACAAAGACCAGTGTGTTGTGGCTCTTGCTAGTGAAGCCTAATGCATAGATAAATTCCTCCCCTGCAATTCTTCTAATTATAGAAACACAGAAAAACATTCTCATATAAACAATGATCACCAGTGTAATCATAAAAATTGTACACGAGAAAGGTATAAGTTGTATAAAGTATTTCAAGGAAAATAAGCTCATAGCAAATAAAACTATCCAAATCCAGATCTGTGATTAACATCCTGTTAATCATGATTAATTCACACTGTTCTGAAAACCAGCTGAATCTCTGCATGATGTAAGAAGTGAACAGGACATGAAAACAGCCATCATACCAAGCTTACATATAATCAGCGAATGAAAAAGGAACTGAGTGAACTGAATTGCTTAAATGCAATTAAAAAGTATGAGAATGAAACTAATAGCTACATGAATGGGAAGGATTTTGATTGTGACATATTCAATTGGTCAGAATACAAAGCCAAGGACTAGCATTATTTATGGTGTAAGCGAGTAAAGCCACTGCCTGCAATGCCACCCTCTCATATGAGTGCCAGTTCAAGTCCCTGTTGCTCCATTTCTGATCCGACTTCCTGCTGATGTACCTAGGAAAAATAGCAGGAAACAGACCCAGACGAATCTCCAGGATCCTGGCCTTGCCCAGGCCCAGTCATTGTAGTTATCTAGGGAGGGACCCAGGGGGTGAGGATTTTCTCTCTCTCTGAGCCTCTTCCCTGGAACTCTGCCTTTTGACTTAAAAACAAAACCAAACAAAAACCAACAAAACTAAAACCTAGCACTATATCTACTGTGCTCGTTTTCATGTTACAGTTCATTTCCCTATGCCTGGCACATAAACAGCTTTTAGACAAATGATTCTGGAAGAGAACTGAACAGCTGAGGCTGCCTCATGAGTCTGCTACAGAGCAAAAAAGATTCAAAAAGCACTGAGAGAAAAGACAGAAGTTAAAAAGGAAAATCCTTACATTCAGTAAAAAATTCTTTCTGAGCTCCCCTGGCAGACAGAATTTCGTGCAAATACATTCGAAGATAACATTCTGAAAGACTGATCTTTAAAAGAGATTATGAACAAGTACTCAATTTTAAAAATATAAAGTAATCCAAAAGGAAATAAGCATGAGTTTTTTTTTTTTACCTGTTGGTGGTGGCATCTCAGGTTGAAATAATTCTGAACTAAATATTGTAGTACTCAAACCATCCAAATGAAACATCTGTAGAGAAGAAAATTTAAATCTAAAGTCAAATACTTGAAACAACTGTAAGAATGAAATCCAAAACCCCAAAATATGCAATCAGTATTCCAAAATACTTTCATGAGATCTAATTAATTTCATATGTGAATGGCATTTTATGTCGAGTTGGACCATGTTTGTTAACAAAGAAATCTAAGAAAGAACAGCTTAGGATGAGGGTTATAGTAGGTGAAGCCATGGCTTGAGATGTCCTCACCCTTATCAGAGAAACAGTTGAAGTCCTCGCCACTCTGCACCTCTAATCCAGCTGGAAAGAAACAGATGACACAGCTCAGGTACTTTTATTCCTGCCTCCCAAATGGGACACCCAAATGGGACACCCAGATGGAATTCCTGGCTGTCAGCTTCAACTCGGCCCAGCAGTGCGTATGCATCCACTTGAGGAGAAAGTCAGTAAGTGGCATCTCTCTCTCCCTTATCTCTGTGTGTCACTATGCCTTTCAAACAATTAAATGGAGAACAATTTTGTATTGTTTACACTCACAAGTTGGCAATAATTTGTTGTAGTTTATTGTAGCAATAATACTATGGGCATGCAACATATTTTTAAAAAACTCAACTCTATCTTGATAAACAATTAGATTTTTTTAAATAGCCAATATAACAACTTGTCCCATTCTCCTTTTTTAGCAATGCATTGGAGGCTCTTGGAAGCCTAGGAACACAGCATGCCTAGTTAAATCAACAATAAGAAAAACAAAAATTATCAGTTCAGAATTAAAATTGTGTTCCATTTTATGGTTGAAGAGTAAAACTTAGCAAGCTATTCATTGTTTCCTGGAAAGTAAACAGGAATTTTAAAAAAATCAGTAAAAATGGGTTTCCTAGTTTCTTATTGCATATTCATCGGTCTCAGAGCCAAAGAGATGATTTGGTAGAGAAACCTTTGCTGTGGTCATGCGGGGGACTGACATGGCTGCACAGAGAGTGAAGGCACCATCAGTGCAGGGACCATGCTGTGCTGTTGCTTACGTAGCGTCTGAGCACATCAAGGAAAGAGAGCAAATTCCAGAATACCCTCAAACCCTGCGGGCATGTGAACGTCAGGAAATAAAACCCATCAAGCTAAAGACAAGAAAATAAAAACATCAAGGACATCTTCCCCTCAAACATGGAAGTATCAGAACATGCCCCACCCCTGTGGCTGAGGATCACAAAAATGCCCACATGTGCAAAACTTTCAAAATGAATGTTCTCGGCAGTCTTTAACCCTCATGTGGCATGAAAGACTGTTTCCTGGTAACAAGATTTCCTGTGTGTAGACAGGAAAGCATGGTTTAAAACCAAGCAGAAACAGCTTCATGTTGGTTAGAATTAGAGATGGCATATTAAAAGTGAAAGGTAAAACAAAGGGTTTTAATAACATAAGTACCTAAATGTCTCTTACATGGCAGTCAAAGAAAATGTTCCTAGATTTATCTTGTATTACTATTTTTTAACAACAAAATCAGAAAGGAACATCTTAATGTGAAAAAAGCAGGACTCAGTCATTCTGTGTAACTCTACTGTATCATGAGTTATGAATGCTAGTCTATTTTATTTATATGTAGAATCAGTAAGTGATCCCTGAAAGTACTTCAATACTGTTTTTTTATTTTTTCTGGATGTTTCTCTACATGCATCACATTGGACAGAAAATTCAGATTGCTTTAGCTGGCTGCCATTCAGATGTGCTGATACCTAGGAATCCCTCCCCCTTGTCCAGTGCAGCAAATTATAGCTTTCAAATCACTGCCTAATAAAAACTGCCTTTGGAGCACCTAGCGATCCTTCAACATTTTTGTCCCCTCTGTGCAGGCATCTACTACAGCATCTATCACCTTGCAGAAACTACTGCAGTCCCTCCTGTTACAGTGATAGCGCCTTGAACATAGTCTGTGTACCACTTGTTTTAATCCACAAAAAGTTGATGTTGTCAGATCATTATGCCCAAATAAATAGAATACATCTCATAGTTTGAAATAGCTCTTAAAACAATTACATTAGAAATGTAAAGGATAGGTATTTGGCACAGCGGTTAAGCCAACATTTAGGATGGCCACTTCCCATACTGGAGTGCCTGATTCATGTTCTGTTCCAGATCTTAATTCCAGCCTCCTGCTCATGTGTATCCAAGGAAGCAGAAGGTGATGGCAAAAGGAGCTGGGTCCTGCAACCCCATGGGAAACCTGAATAGCATTCCAAACTCCTAGCTCTAGCCGAGACAGCCCTGGAAGTTATAGTCACTCAGGAAGTTGGCAGATACGCGAGCTCTCTCCCAAATTACCAAAAAAAATTTTTTTAAATAATAATTTAATAATAATAATAATTTATGTGTACAGCAAGACGGTAAGTACAGATAATGAAGCAGAGTTTTAAATAGGGAGCACAGATATGTTGGACTAGTTAATGCTTTATAGCTTATAAATTCTCCAAAGTAAAAAGCTAGATGGAAAACAAAACAAGGACATCGGTGCCCCACATAACTGCTAACATTATCAAAACAAATTAACGTAACATTCTCAAAGCACATTCACTGGTCTTCAAGTCTTTTCAACATCCCTGTGAATATGTAGCTAGAATCCCAACCTTGTATATGAGATATGTGAGGCTTAGGGGAATTAAGAAATCCTTTGAGATACAAGAGGTGCTCAGTAGCACTCAGTATCTATAAAGCTCAAAAAATTATATAAAGACTGAAATTTAATTTATAAAGATCTCAATACATATTAGCTGCTTCTTTAGATGCATTTTAAATATCTTAAGGGGCTATGGTGGGTTGCTATGTGTTCTTCCTGAAAAAAACAAGGGTGGAGGAGAAATGTTTAAATCCTAATCCCTACTACCTGATTTGTAACCTTACTTGGAAAAAATGTCTCTAGATTTAATCAAGTTAGGAAGATGGGGGGACTTGAAATCCAACAACTGAAACTGCCATAAATAAAAAGAAAGAGCTATATGGATATAGACACAGTCGACACACACAGGATGGAAGGACATTTGTCAATGGAATCAGAGAATGCAGTGATGCGGCCATAGCCAAGGGATGCTGAGGCTTGCCAGAATCCCCCAAGAATCAGGAGACAGGCTTGGGCAGGTTCTCCTTCACACTTCCATTAAAGGAGCCTACGCTGTCAACATCGAGATCCTGGATTTCTTGCCCTCAGAACTTTGAGAAAAAGATAAAATATATTTCTGTTGATTTAAGCCACCAGGTTCATGGTAATTTGCCATAGCAGGACTGTAAGGGGGCCATCATTTGAACTGCCGCACAATTTACATGCAACAACATGTGACAGCAGGACTCATATGTCTTCTCCAACCTCACATTAAGGAACAGGGAAACTGAAAAAAAAATTTTAATTATTCACCACCTTTAGAGTTTTTCTCATAACTATTACTAGTGGTACCTCTATCCATTTTGGAATATTAATGCATTTAAATAAAATTATCTGTGAGATAACAACACTTACTTCCTCAGTTCTCAAATAGTGGTCGTCGTCTGCCATTCTGGAGCTGTATATCAAAACAAACACAACAAAGCTATAATACCAGAATGAAACTTGTTTAGCTTGGTTAAGATACAAGGTAAGTCACTCGTGTTATATATTAGAACACCTGAGTTTAATACCTTGTTTTGAATCCTGACTCTAGGTTGCTGCTAATGTGGACCCTAAGCAGTAGTAAGGGATGGCTTAACCTCTTGGGTTCCCATCACCCACCTGGGAGACCTGAATTTAGTTCATAGCTCCAGGCTTCAGTTTCAGCCTAGATCAGACTATTTCAGGCATTTAGGTAGCTAACAACCGGATGGGAGTTCTCAGACTCTTCTCTGCTTATACATATATGAATAATCCCATCATAGTACAGCTGGGTAAGTTGGCTGCCTGAGACATCAGCATCCCATATAGGCATCAATCAGTTCTTGTCCCATCTGCTCTACTTCCAATCCAGCTTCTTGCAAAAGGCCTGGATGGTCCAAGTTCTTGTGGCTCTGCATTTATACAGCAGACTCGGATGAAGCTCCTAGCTCCAGCCTGACCAATTCCTGGTTATTGTGGCCATTTGGGGAAGTGAACCAGTATGTAAGACACATTTGTCCCTCTCCTTTTCCCCTCCTCTCTCTGTAATTGCCCTTCAAAAAAAACCCAAAACTTAAAATCCTGTAACTATGGAATTCATGCAGTAATATCATTCTAAGACCAAATTTAACTGTTCTAAAAAGACCTTAGGAGAAGGATTTAGTGTGGTTCTCTTCTTCGGTATGTAAATTTGGCAACAGGGAGATTGCATAATAAGTTACCATTTACATATGACTCTACATTCTCACATTAAGGTTACAATAACCTGAATTTGGTATTTTACATAAAAGTCATACATACTTGAATTTTTTAGTGGCCATTTCTTTTTATCACCTTTCAAATTTTAAGGATTTACAGTCTTAGCTCCTTGTGCTTTCCTGTTATTTTCCAGCTGTTGATGAACCCTGTGATGGTCTCAGAATTGTTTCCAAGTTGTCTACAAGCTGTTCCAGCTGAAGAGTCTCAGAAGGGCCTGAATAGAGCCTGGCACAGCTGCCAGGATGGCTAGAGGATTGCTGCAGGGTACCACACACTATCCTCTAGTGCTTCCTGTGTCCACTGAAGGCAGCCACCTCCCTACCAATGTTGAAGTTAGTATAGCAACTCTAACCTTAAAAGTGCCATAAAAATGCAAAAACAAGAATCCTTATCTCCACTGTGGGTTTCAAGACGTAACTCCAGCCAGGTATGAACACACTTCAGTTCCTAGCAATCTTTTATTACCCAGAGGCACGCATTAGGTACAAAGCCAAATAGAAGTGACAAGAATAGACTTCCATAGTTTTTCCCTAATCTTAAGATGAAGTCTGTCTTTCATTATAAAGTATGGTATTAGCTGTGGGACATTACCTGAGGAAGTTCCTTTAGATTCTAGTTTATTATGTGCTTTGTTGTCATGAAAAAGTACTGGATTTTGAAAAATGCTTTCTAAACATCTAATGAGATGGTTATGTGCATTTTTCTTTATTATGTTAATATTGCATTATATTTTTTATTATATGTTGTTGACTCAATCTTGTACTCCAGGGGTAAGTCCCACTTGTTTGCAGTGTAATAAGTCTTTATGTTGTGGCAGTTTTGTTTCATAGTATTTTTCTCAGGAGTGTTTCATCTATATTCATAGAAGATATTGATCTTTAATTTTCCTGGGAGATCCTTGATTTTATTATTATAGCATTGTTGGGCTGATAGAATAAGCTGGAGAAAGTACTATTCTATTCTTTGTAAGAGTTTTTATGAATGACTGATTTTAATTCATTAAACTTTTGGTAGATTTCACCAAGGGAAAAAAATTAACAAAAAAACAAAAGTGCTGAACCACATTGTAAAACATTCACAATTTACCTAATATTGTTAGCATTATTTTAAACAGGAAACCATTAATTTAATTGAAAGTACATTTTAGATATATGACATGAAACAGTGGAGTTAAAAGCATACACAAATTTTTGACGTCTTTCCCTCACTCCCCACGAAACCCCTAAGGCACCCAAGGCATTCAGGGCTGCAGTTGAGAATGTGAGCTTGTCCATCAAAATGTGTTCCTTTTCCCACAGCAGCACTGTTGAGCTGGCACCATGATACTCAGCGTGCAATCGAGCCCACAATTCCTGCCATCTGACAACATGCTCACCAGTAGGAAATGTCAGAGCTGTGTGTGTGCTGAGCTTTGAGGCCTTGAGCAGAAGACCTTTCACATGTTTCCTCCATGCTTTGTTTTTCTCTTCCTTGCAAGATAAAGCCCGGATGTGGAGGAGAGCTGGATTCTACCACACAGGCAATGATGAGAGACTGCAAGACTGAAGATAAGATGGAGGGAATCTGGACCTTAGACGGTCACCATGCAACAAAGCAGCTCTGACCAGCCAGGCTCACACTGGTGGTGATGTGAGAAAGAGGCAAGTCTCTGTTCTTTAAAGCCCAGTGTACTATTCGGTGACTGTTCAAACAGCTCAGCCCTCACCCCAATGAACACATTGCTTAAAGCTGCAATGAGCACTTAGCCTCCAAGAAAAAACTGTCTTCTGATGAATCTGTGCCTGCTGGAGCATGCGTGACAAAAAGGAAGAAAGGCTCATGAGGACTTTCAGGATACGAAGCACAGTTCAACCTTAGCAAAAGGGAAAAGGACAGCTGCAAGTCCTGCTGGACATGAAATTCACATAGGTTTGCAGGGAGATATTTTTCCCAAGTAAGAAACTATTGGTTGAAGATATTCAAACAGCAGCGAGTGAATATATGTGAATTAAGACCAGCAGTTATAAAAGAGAACTGGAGTATTTCAGCTGTGAGTTAAGATACTGCATCCCAGAAAGGAGTGCAAGGATCAATTCTTGATGATTCTCCTGATTTCAGCTTCCTGCTAATGCATACTCTGGGAGGCCAGCTGATGGGAGGGGAGTTGACGCTGTCTTTGTTTCACTCTTTAATAAATTCTCAAAAATAAGTTGCTTTTTTTTTTTTTAAGAGACAATGGGACATGCTACAGTATAGATGAGATAGGTCATTGAAAATTCTGCCACTGCTAGGTACGTGACTGTGGCTTTTAACCAAACACCATGGTCTCATTTTTAACCTTTAATGTGAGACTTTGATGGGACAGATTTTTGAAAGAAAAAAACATGTTTTCAGGCTCACTGTAGTTCTGTTATCTGGCTGGCAAATGTCTATTCAAAGAAAACATCTCTTAAGTCATAACATTTTTGAAACACTTTTAAATTTTACATGAATATAATGAATTATCAGTATCATTTTCAGATATATGAGAAATACTAAACAAAAAGGTACATAAATCCTTATCCTTAATATACCATAGGAACCAACATGTTCAGAAAAACGATTAAAGTCACTTTTTTTGATCAGTGATCTGGGTCAATCTTCGGAATATTTTCAAACAATCTTTGCCCACAGTTTTTGAAAGAACAGACCGCTGATTCGTGAAACTGACAAAAACAATTCAGTACCTCTGCTGCACTGCTTAAACTGTGGTATTCCTGAGCTTAAATGTATGGAATTAACAGAAAGCAGCCCTCACCTTAATTTTGACAACACTGACTGCAGCTCCTTTAAGACAGGGATGTTGAGTTATTAGCATGGATCACCACTGTACCATAGATAAAACCTTCAATCTGAACTTCTACAGCCCCTACAAGACAGTTACATTCACTGTAAAGAGTTGAGGCAAGAGTACCCAAAGGGTGGTGGCAAGGTTAATTCATAATTTAAAAGTAAAATGCCAAAACAAGCCAAGAATCATTTGGAAAGAATGAATCACTAGCAATATTTGCATTAATTGTAAGAGCAGGTTTTCTTTCTAAAATGTTGAAATGCTAATTGAGCCTTTGGAACTAACGGATTAGAAAGGACTGGGAAAGTCCCTTCTGCCCCCCTGCTCCCCCAGCCTTCCCTTCACTGTCCCTTTGCTCAGTTCTGCGCTTTTGAGGAAGGACCTTGAAACAGAAAGGGAGATCTAGAGTCGGCTGGGGGAGATGAGTCTAATCTCTGCATTTCTCCCCAGTGGAAAGGTTTCTGGCAAGATTTTCAGCCCATGGAAACAGAAACTGAAAACATAGCTGGCTAGCAACAAATAAAACATCCAGTGAATTGTTTGTGGTTTTCTTGTAAAAGCCATGTTGCAACAAGTTTAGTCCTGAATTTGTGATGAGTTCTGTGACATGCCAAAAGGGTTATTGTCTGAACATCTGGAACAAACCCTCTACGAACAACAAAGCTCATCACATGTGTTTCTTGGTGAAAGGAGGCAGTGAGATGGAGCTGATTAAAAGTGGTGTTTAGCGTTAAGGTTGGAGTTTGGGTATTTATGTATTACAAGGGATACTTCCTAGAATCAGAGATTTACTTTTTGATTGTAATCCCCCTAAGAAAATATATTTCCATTTTATTAGCCTTCACACACACACACACACACACACCCTCTTTAAATCCATTAAAGCAATTTCATGATCTACCAAAGGAGCACAATTGAAATTTAAAAAACCAAAACTTTACATGCCACCAAGAAGGAACATTCAATTTCAAGATCCTATTCAGAGAACAGACACCAGTTATACATGATTTTAACATTTCATCTTGGTTGGAAACTAAGATGAAATTATGAGAAGGGATGACCTTTCACCATTTGTCTGTTGGATAATACGTTTATGCATCAGAAAAACATGGTGAAATCTCTTTCCATACAGGAATTTTTTGGAAGAAAGACTATAAAAGTTAGTTACACATGGATATAATGCAATATGCTCAAATGAGACTGTCCTTTGATTCTGCTATTTCAATTTCAAGAATTTTCACTAAAAATTTGAGCCAGTGTGCCCAAAAAATAAGAGTATTCACTGAGGCATAACATTGAAAATAAGCTACATACCCTCTGAGAACAAACCAGATTTAGTCTACATTCATAAAACTAATACTAGGCAA